ATATCATATGATTTGGAGCAATGTGCGATGAGTTAGAAGGAAATTTGTTTGTGCCATTTTTTTTGAACACCACTGTAAATAGAAGTATAACAACAATGCAGAGGATAGTGAGAATGATGAGAGACTTGCTCAACCTTCAACAGTGCTTGAACGCTGCTGCGCTTTGGTGTTGTGTGAACCCGCCGTTTTGGCAAAACTGATGCAGCTCTAAGAGTTTAGAAGAGAAAAAACGACCGGCTTTGGATAGTCTTTTCAAATAAATTTTAGTGCGGTATACTTATCTTCGATGCTTATGTAACTGCCTAGGTATTTTCTATGAAATTATTTCAAATAGTATGAATAGTTTGATTGATATGTGTTAATCACGTACTGTCTTTGTATATAATCCCTTTCTGGTTCACTATTGAAATTAATGTTAATATTTATGGGGATGTTGCAACAAAACCAAGCAATGTGAACATTCACTGCTGTAATCACACGACATTATGTTTGGTAAGATTTTGTTTAATAGTATTGCTTCGGATCTTTTAGTTAATTTTTAGACCTAAGAAATAAATTAGAAAGACAATGGCAATTTCGCCGACCAATTTATTTAATATTGTGTTGGTCGCCTAATATTCGAGACGCCTCAAGTCTTCTTGGCATCTCAATTAAATTGATATATGTTTCATAAAGACTCAGTGACCATATCTTTTTTTGGATGCTCTTTCAGGTAATTGAGACTATCAATCAGGTAATGTCTTGATTTTCTTTCCTTAATCCAATTGATAATACCTTTTGCTGAAAGAAATAATCTAAAATCATAACGAAATTTCTGCTTTTTTTTTATTTGATTATTTTGCTATAATAAAAATAAATCATTATTATGGGTATTTTTATAAACCCAACCTGAGTTTGTTTGCTTGTCTTTTTAACAATTTTAAAGTTTTATATGGAGAAGCGTTGTGTTCAATTAGTGACCGAGGGATATTCTCAACTGAATTCTAAACACAAGCACCCGCGTCAGTCATCGGATAATGTCGAAGGCGGCTCACATATATTTCCTATCGCTAAGTATATATTCACTACTTTGGGTTGCTAATACCTTATCGTTTAGGACGTTAGCTTTGAATCACTCCTTTTAGGGTAATTTAAGTTTTTGTCTGAATTCTTTTAAAGAAACGACAAAATTTCTTAATCGAGGGAGTACGTGGTATAATTAAGAAGGGCGATGTTACGTCAATTTGTCAATTGGACGCATTTTCGAAATCTTCCCCGCCGCTCTTTGAATGAGTATAATTTACCGTGCGTTACTAAAAGATCAGTAAATTAATTTTTAAGCACTTTAAAATTTACACAGATTCTTAAAACCTAAGCTATAAACTGATCCAAATTTCTTCTATCATCGGTACGCTATTAAGTTAAAAAAAAATTTTTTTTTTTTTATCCAATACTTCTCAAGGAGTGTATAATAACGAGGGCTTATGTTCAAATTGACTAAAGTAAACTGGATAAACTATTAGGATTATATCTATATAAAAAATACAGGTAAATGTATTTACAACAAGACGGGCATAAATTACTATTTGAAATACCGTACCGCACTGTTTCTAAGTGCCCGGGGATACTGTGTGAGGTGTGTGTGTGTGTGTGTGGGAGGGGGGGGTAATTAGGTGAATTAATCTAAAAAAGAAAACTTGCGCACCTTAAAATTCTCTTCACAGTTATGCCTATACGTGACAATAAAAATTCGTTGTGTAAGAAGGTACGTCGTCAATGGGACTGTGATAAAAAAATCTTTCAAATGTTGCGGGATATCAAATAAGAGAGACGGAGATAATTTAATCTTTGATTATGATAGAGTTGTGCACAATAATAATAACGACAGAAGTGATGTAGTTGATAACTTTGCCCCCCGAAAAGTATAGCAGAAAGCTTTTTTTGAAATAACATAAACAGAAATAATAACATTTATTTTCCAAATATTTGTAAGTGTAAGTTTGTATTTGAAAAGACTAAAATATAATACGCTTTTACGTAAAGCTATCTAATTTAAGTGCGGTTGTTTGAGTGGCTGGTGCTAAGAGCCTAAAGCCTTTTTTTTCAAAATTGAAGAAAAAGTCAATTGTTATCATACAACTGCCATATATTTTTTGATCAAGATTATTCCGTCGTACTCCCTCTATTGGCTCTGTACGCCTGCTGGCTTTGTATACTTTCTTAATGACTCGGGTTTATTAGAAAACAAATGCTAATATTCAAAATAGGTTCATTTCAAAGGAAAAGTTGCTATTAACAAATCAATTTTTTTAAGAAACACCTACACTAAATAATACGCTACTTTTATCTACGTTTTTCAGTAACATTAAAATAATTGTTATACAGATTTCGAATTATAATAATATGTGAAATCACTCCGCCATTACTTTTCGGGGTGACTGTTTACTTATGCAAATCGACAGATTTGGTCAACAATTGGGATAATTATATAATAGACGTGTTGAGAAATCAGCCTTACCTGTCCGCTAGCTACATTGATATCAATATTTTGAAATACTCTTATACAATAGGAAAAGAATAAGGGCGCAAGGGTTATAAAATCATCGCTTGCTAGTGAAATATGAGTCACTCAAATATCTTTCGAACATTATTGTGTGACGAATAAAGTTGCCTCCATTGCATCAGATTATACAATAAATGTGTCAATTTAAAGCTTAAAACAAGCAAATGTTATTAATTAGTTTTAATAATCGATTCTCTTTCCGTTACTTTCGCAATAACAACATTTAATAGATTTAACAATTGATTACCATAATCCTTTCTAAATCTTCCAAATTTTGTGGCATTTATTTTTCCAAATTCTGTATTTTTAACAATTGAAGCGCTATCTCGTCAGTGGAGACAGTTTCTTCCAATTGTATTTTTGTACTCTACTATCCCTTTGTGCTTTTCGGTGTGTATTGGTGTTTTGGGGCCTTTTTAATATCCCCTTGAGCTTAAATGCCGGCCTACAGATCGCTATAAAACGGCTATTTTTCGCACTAAAGCTGAAGACTCTCTCCTTATTATAGTCCAATTGCTCTAGCCATATTATTTATTATCCACTTTGTTTTTCGACAACTTTCACGTCTGTCAATTTACATAATTCTGAAACAGAGCATATGCCTTGCTTCCCAAAATGTAATAAACCTATTTTCTTGTCAGTATATTTCTAAATACACAAATAAAAATCAGATAATAGAACAAAAATTAAATCATAAACATAAGCTTTGTTTTGCTTTTGCACGACGCGTTCTGTGCTAATTTGGTAAAGATACGCGGACAGAAAGTTGTAGCAAATTTTTTCGGCATACTTGATACACGATTATTAATTATTTATTGCAATAATTATCCTAATGCCTTCAAGGGCGGCGCCAAATACTCGAGAGAAATACGTCACAATGTTATACCTCTCAATTTTCATAAGAATTTTTCCTTATATTAACATATATATAGAAAAAGAGAAAATTACTTATAAAGTCCGTCAGTTTTCAGGAAGCTATTAGATCAGGAATTAAAAAAATATATTCAAAGAGAATAAAATTTAAGCAAACTGCTCTGCACAAAATAAACGTTTGAGATAACTAGTTTGTTAAAGTTGATCAATAACTATTGCACAAAAATAAAGATACAAATAAATTTTGATAAGTTGGTTTATCAAGCTCAAAAATTAGTGCAAACGTGGCGATGGCGGATGGCAAGGGTCTTTTTGCTGCCACTCCATAATTATGCTCCGTAGATAGCATTTAGTAATTACGCTAGTCTCGTAGTCTATAATTCGATAATAATAACTGATTCTTTCAGGGAGACAATACATATTAGACTACTTGTGCGGCAATGAGCAAAACCCCGTCTCTATTGTCTTAGAGTAGTTGCCAGCTGTGTAGCATTGAGTGTATTTTTTCGACAACGGAGTCCAAGTGACTCTGGAACCCTACTTTACTGTAGAGACGAGGATACTCAAACGAGTATCATGATTACTTCACGACGCAGTCAACTGTCAAATAATCCCAATATATACGCGCATTTTCATTATAAATTGAGCGGAAGCAATCTTCTAATTTCTCAGCTTAACTTATATTTACACGTAGTTCTGCTTTGATATGCTCTTTTAAGATACTTTGGCCGTTACTCTGGTATAGCGTTGCCAATACTATGTAGATGCTAAAATTAATCTGAAAGCAAATAGGATCTAATAATAGCAACATTAAGCTTCGAGCAATTCACCGTTAATGCTGAATAGCGTAATAAACTACGTTCTAATTCATAGGTTGACTGAATGTAGTCTACTTATCGAGAATTCAATTCGAGAATCAGTGTCGTTATATCGAGTTTCACTTGTATACATTATTGTTGTATAAACTGTTTACATTGCAAAAGGTAATCGTATTCTCAACTGGAATATAATAATAACTAACTACAGTAATATTTAAAGTAGAAACCTAAGGACGTTTATAATAAAACTTATTTAGTGTAACGACATTGTTAAATTTTTGTTATAACGGTAACATTTTCGGGAAATGCTGGTTGGACAAGCTCTAATAAAGTATCGGAATATATCGACGTTTAATATAATAATGACGAGGAAATTCAAGCTCTGATCCTAGCATTTTTGGTTACCCTTCGTAATTGTCTCATTAACAAAGCAGAAAAGGTAAGTTATGGTGCACCAACTCTATACTCGACAAATTTTCAATTTGTTTCAATTTCTTAGATGCAGTGTAACGCGACAATTTAATATCATGTGATATAACACAAATCGTTTAGTTATACCATAAATCGCATTGATATTGATAGTACACTAACTGATAAGTTTTATAATCATCCATAAAATGCCTCGTCTTAATAAACGTCGACTACAAGTAGCAAACAAGAAGCGAAATACAGATGGTTGTTTTTCTAAACTTCAAGAGCAACAACAAGAATCAATAGAGAATAATGATGATGCAAAATTCGGAGAATAGAGATATTAATATGGTCTGCGGAGGATTTTCAGGAATTTAAAGATGTTAAAAAGAGGTTTGAGTTAGTCTGGAAAGAAGGTGCGTTAAAAAATAAGAGAGTCTACTATGATTCTACGTCAAGAACAACTCAATGGCGTAAACGAAAAGCAGAAGAAGAATTAAAAAGACATGTAAGTTCATTTGTAAAAATTGATACCTTTTTTCAACCATTAACATTAATATCATCAAC